CATACTTCTCCCGATCCCATATGTCCTTCATTGTCGTTATGGCATCGAGCACATGAGGCTTGTGGCCATGTGCAACTCCCTTGCACCCACGTCGCTGTTTCTTGCAAGCCTCCAGTGCTGCTTTTGCTGTGCTGTCATTGTCGAAGATGTTCGACAGGCGCCGCAGGAGATCAGTCTTGTATCCGACCTTGAGGCAATGGATGATCCCTTGGTCCATCGGCTGAAAGCGGGAGGTCAGGTTGGGAGGCAGGAATGTGATGATCACGGACTAAGGTGAAAGCTTGCCCACACCTTCATGAGCTGGACAGCTGTCCAGTTGTCCAAGATGAGAATACAAGGAAGCTAACCTTACCGCTGCTTGTACCAAGCGCAAAACACATCCTGCAGCCACCACTTGGTCACTGCCTTGTCAAACCAAGCGTTGGCTTGATTGGTGTAGGCGATGGGTGGATTGTTCCCGCAGAGATCCCAACACTGCGGACGCTTGGATTTTCCAACGACAGCAAGTGGAACGTTCTCTCCAACAGCAGAGGTGCACAGCATTGGAGTGATTCTCTCCTTGGCCTTCATCTGCTTTACTCCACGAATGGTCCTTTTCTCCTCCCGCTGGCAATAGATGCGGTTGGGTAGCTTTTGGTGGAAAAACCCTATTTGGTCAGCGTTGAAGACCCGTTCCGGAGGGATGTTCCGCTCGTTCATAGTTTTCTTTATGTCTTCCCGAAACGAAGACATGGCAGCAGATGCAACGTCCTCGTCCATCTCCATTCCTTCTCCATGAAGATTGACGCCGGTAAGGCCATTCCGTCGAAGACTCGAAGCACATTGAGGCACAATCCAGAACTAGCGGTAAAGGAGTCGGCATCATCGCCAAGCTCTTGCTTAGCGAAGTTGAGAGCCTTCTCCATCAGCACCACCCACGACAATCCAAGCTTGTCAGTCACAAACTTCTCCCTTCGAAGCAAAATATAATTCACTAGTCGCTCCTCAATTTTCCCGAGCTGGGAACTTCTGTTGCGGACTCCCTGTGGACCAGACGGATTTGCATCAGCGAGCTTGCCAGCTTCAGCATCCCTCAGCCAGCCGCGGAACGTCGCCTCCGGAACATTGTTCAAATTCGCAAATTTTCGATCGCAGGTTTTTCCACTCTCACGGTAGAGACAAACCAAACGCAGTCGATCAGCCACTGTTCGCTGTTCTTTCGTTTTCTTATGAGGAGGCATCGTCAAGCAAAGGGAAACGAAGTATTGCACGATGGAAACAGAAGTGCGTCTTGTCAAATCTCTACCACAATTATCAAACAAAGAGTGCGAAAACTATAAACGGAACTTCGTTACTTTCTCGATCATGACTTCATGCAGTGGTACGTAAGTAGATCTACAGTTGCGCTCACTGAAACCCGACCAAAAGTGCAAAGCTGGCGCCCTGGACCAGTTCCGATTACATCATTGTATGTGTACATGTGTACGCCCAGCCGTATTCATTCCATTTCGAGGGCGTCAAGGGCCGTGGAAGTCGAGGGCGCCAGCTTTGCACGTTGGGTCGGATTTCAGTGAGCGCAACTGCACGTCTCGTGTCCAGTCAGTGTACAGTGTACAGTGCGCATGCAGCTCAGTGCTTGTACGCGTGTTCAGCACGCATGTCCATATGCAGAAGCCTGTACATATACATTCAGGGGGCATCGGACACGGTACGGTCACTACGGTATTGACCGTACCACTTTTGGCCCAGTCATCCCGTAAATCAATAAAATACACTGATCTGGGATCTAAACTTCCAAGTTTTTCGGCTCAGCAACCACTCTCCCCCGAGTAAGTTAGACTTTGACCGTACCACACTAAGCTACAGTACAATCTGGTTTAAGCGACCACCCCACAGTGCAAGGAAAAGCGGTCGTTAAAGTCAGGTGGTCTTTAGAACCAGGTCCCACAGTGTCTGTGTAGAGCTGTTGGTGCATGGAAAAACGGCGGTTAAGAGCAGGTGGTCGCTAAGCCCAGCGGTCGCTTACACCCGGTGTTACTGTGCCTTCCGACGCCCCTGACATGACGTGGTGCATAATGTAAGTCGCACACTCGCTGACATGACGTGGTGCATAATGTAAGTCGCACACTCGCTGACATGACGTGGTGCATAATGTAAGTCGCACACTCGCTGACATGACGTGGTGCATAATGTAAGTCGCACACTCGCTGACATGACGTGGTGCATAATGTAAGTCGCACACTCGCTGACATGACGTGGTGCATAATGTAAGTCGCACACTCGCTGACATGACGTGGTGCATAATGTAAGTCGCACACTCGCTGACATGACGTGGTGCATAATGTAAGTCGCACACTCGCTGACATGACGTGGTGCATAATGTAAGTCGCACACTCGCTGACATGACGTGGTGCATAATGTAAGTCGCACACTCGCTGACATGACGTGGTGCATAATGTAAGTCGCACACTCGCTGACATGACGTGGTGCATAATGTAAGTCGCACACTCGCTGACATGAC